CTTGGTTGTTGTGCTCATTCCAGTGGTTAAAGAAGTCCAGGCACGTGGCTTTCTCTGGAATACAGTTTATATGTTCAAAACAGGGAGGATTTCTAAATAGCTTTCAGTTCCTGTGTTAGAGCCCCTCACATGCAATTAATAATGTGGTTATTGAGTCTGAGATCAACAAAAGGGTGAAATCAGATCTTGTCTCCTGTTAGAGAACAGTTGTCTGTGGTAAAGGTGCTCTGACCATCAGATCTGCTGCTCTACATTGGTCTCCCTGGATGCAGTAGCAGGTGGTGCTGGCTCTTACTGCTTGTACGTTAGGAATGGCTATGGACAGACTGGGTTTCCAGGGCTGGATCAGCCTGCCTCTCCCTCCTCAAGTGTCAATGAGGGGAAGATGGTATTTTTCCTCCAGAGCTGGTGTGTTCTCAGGACCTCCATCAGGGGCATTTGTCATCTTGCAGCCAGATGGTCTCAGACGTGCTTTTCTTCTCCATTCTCTCCTCCAGAACAGTGATGACAGCCAGGCTAAGAAATGCCTTATCCTGGATCCAGTTTGGCCAGTATAGTTCTGATTTTGCAGTGAATTCCTCACCTCTCCTGCTAGAGGAGAGCCCTACAACCCTACTCTTGGATTTCACAGAATGGCTCAACCCAGTTTTCCTTTTAATGGCTCATATTCTCAGTGGTTTAGACTGTGTGCTGTGTCCAGCTCCCAAGGCTCTGGTAGCAGAGAGGATTCTGCTGGGCTTATCCCATCCCATCCTCTCCTGATCAGACTCCTTGAAAGGTTTGTTTTCTTGTCAGGGACCTTAGTCCCTGATAGGAACTTAATCTCATCCCCAGGTCCTTGGTGGGATGGATTTCTCCCCTGTATAAAACCTTGAACTGGGTGAAGATGCTTCTTGTTATTAAATATGAAGTGGATCCCAGAAAAGGCTCAGGAAGACTCAACAGCTTTTTATATCTGATGTCTTGCATCTGCTGTCCTGGTCTATACTAGACTTGGCCTTAAAATTTATGTGCCAACGTTTGCTTTTGAATCTCTTCTAAAATAGAAATGGCAACCTCCTCTGGAGCACATGGACATTTTGTTTTGGGGAAGAAAAGCTACAAGATCAACAGTAGGTTTAGAATAAAATGTTTGGGGTTTGTTTTGTTTACAGACGATCAGGACTTTTGATTTTGTGGTGAATAATTCTAAGTGGAGAAATGTGAGTGCTAAAAAGCAGTGTAATAATACGTCTGTGGAGCACTTTGAAGATGAAAAGCTGTATATACTGTAAACATTATTACTAGTATAACCTAATCTGTGTGGAAAAATTAATCTAGCATGAGCTAAGTGTAGATTTTTTTTTTTTAATGTACAATATAGTGTTTCAGAAAGTCTAATACAACCGTGTATTTACTTTCACATGGTAACATAAGAAATTTATCCTTTTATATTTTTAATATGTGGGTTGCAATGGTTGATTTTGTTGTTACTTTCCAAATGTGGAGTCAGTCCTAATCCGCTGCAACCTGTCAGAAATGTGAAACGTCTGGGCTGGGAGAGAAAATTGCTGTATTTTCAAAGAGGGTGTAAAAATCCTGTGCGATGAGAAATAGGTGCCTGGGAGATATGGGAATGTTTGGGGGGGGTCAGCCATCCTTCTCAGCCTTGTGCTGTGGCTTTGGAGAAGACTTGAGAGAACTCCAGAGCCGGGCAGGTGCCAGACCGTGGTGGGGAGGGAACACCTGCCAGGCTGCTCCAGATCCCTCAGCACTCTGGGGCGTTTTCCCAGGCTCCCAGAGGAATGGTCTGTAACAGCCGTGGGAGAGGGCTTCCCACCGCTCCACGCTGCACCACAGCAGCCTCTTGGCAGCTTCTGGAAGCTCCAGTCAGCTTGGCTGGGATTCCTTTGGAAAACAAGTGCTGCTGGATAGTCTCACAGTAAAGAGCTGGTGTCTGATGTTTCCTCTTGGTGTCGTGGGACCACGAAACACAACAAACAGGGCAAATTCCTGTTCCCGCACAAGGCAGCGCTCACAGGGGCCTGTTGCAGCTGGAACTCAACTGTGGCTTCTCTAGAACCTCCTCTGTCCAGTCATATTTTGGATTTCGGGGTCTGTTTATTTCATAGGGTTTGAGGGGTTTTGGTTGTTCTGTTGTGTTGCTGTTTTTGTTTTCCTTGTTTCTTTTTGGACCCTGAATCTGATCATTTAGGTGCACAGTTTTGAAGTAAGAAAGAAAAAAACCCTCCACATCACTAAATACAATTTTATTTCCTTTTCTGGTAATCCACAAATGGAGGTTTGTCGATGTTGCATGGTGAGGAGGAAGTTAAAGATTGAGCCAACCGGGTTTGCTGAGCCCAAGATCTGTGAACTTTCTACGCTACCGGAAGCAAAATTGTCTGTAGCTTGAGGTTCAAACTTCTGTGGTGGTGCTTAAAAGGAGTTAGTGATGGATCATTTGGTGTGTGTCAGTTGGTCCCTCCTTCCATGATATCACGAGCAGCAGGTTTTGGTCCTTGCTGAGATCACACTGGCTCTGGAGCATAACCCACTGCTTGCTCAAAGCCAAGATTAGGATCGATGGTGGACCAGCCAGGAATGAAACTCATGCTGAGGGACTGTGCAGAAGCTTTAAAAAGCTGCAAGTTGCATGGGGTTGTTCTTGCAGGGCTTATTTTTTTATTTTTTATTTCATGAAGCAGAGTGGTTAATCGGATAATATATTTCTCCTAAGGGAAGCTGAAAGAGGATATCACTGTTTTTATTGTTCTGCAATAACTCTGACAACTTGAAAACTAGGTTTTGTGAACTCCAGCTGACTATGGATTAAATCAGGTGTCACATACAAGAGGGTTTCACAACATTTGATGAGCTTTGTGATACTTTCAAAATACAAGTATCTTGAATACAATGCATCTTAGTATTTTCTCATGGTTAGCAACAAGTAACAGCAAATCGTCTGTTCGGGCCTTTTCAGCCAAGTAGTAAATATTCATGCAAACTAAAATGATTTTTCTAGTGTTAGTCCCTCTGGGCTGAGCTTATTAGCTCAGGTGCAACTGCCTGTGAAGGCTTTATAAGACTTTCAGGCTTGAGCTGATGCTGCAAAAATAATGTGTATGGGTGTCTTGATCTCTTAGGTAATTATTTATTTGTCAGGTCTGAGGTGGGTGATCTTCCACAGAACAGTGGCTGACTCAGTCAAGGGCCTTTAAGAGGAATTTGAAACTTTGCTCAGTCAATCAGATATGATTAAACATTTAACCTCTCAGAGGATACCAGGATAGCAAGAAAACTGAACAGATATACCTGTCACTGATTCATAAAAGAATTGCCAGAGTGAAGTATGCTGCTTTTCCCTCTGAAAAGCAAAGATTCACATTTTCCCAAGTTCCTCTCAAGAAAAATACATTTGGAGTATTACAGACAAATGGAGGTGGGAAGAAAAACTTTTCATATTTACTCTCTGTTTGAAGATTTGTTTTCCAAGTTGTACTTTTAGGATTGTTACTTTTTCAGCATTCCAAGGCCACAGTGGAGGATGCTTTTATCACACTAATAACTTGTTTATATATAGGGCAAATTCTTTGATTTGACTTAGCAGTGTTAAAGAATTGTAGATGCCAAACTGGAAATAGCTAAAAGTAATTTTCCTTAATTGTTCTCATAAATATACAGTTAATAAAGCTGATGGATTCCATCCAAATTTTTCTCTAGTGCTCATCATTTTTGAGGGATGGTTCAACTTGTCACATCTTGACTTGATCTCTAAAGGGAAGTCAAATTTTGGGTATCTTCCTGAGGGGAAGGGAAAAAAGATGGCTGATAAATTTCAAAGGGATTGATTGTGATCAATAACTGTGGTTCTTAATGAGGGGTGATGCTGAAAACAGCACTCCATGGGGAGCTCCAGAGGATGGTGCAGACCCTGCAGCAGAGGATGTGCATTTTGGGGCTTATACTTAGAATTAAGACCTGCTTGGCACTTGCTCAGTAGAGACTGAGCCTGGAACAAGCTTTCTTTCTTTTTAAATGGTTAGGTTAGAAGAACAGCAGTAGCACTTGAATATTCTACTTTTTGTGTGGTAATCGCACCAAGGGCAGCTGCCTGCCTTAGAAGCAGCAATAATTTAAGTCTTGTAAACCCCATCCAAGTTAAGGGAAACACCTCTAACCCTCTTTTGCACTTTCCTTTCAATGAGGTGCACAGAGAGAAGGGGAGGACGAGTCCCAGTCGCCGGTTTTTTTCCCCTTTCAGCGGGAGTCAGGTTGCTAAATACCTTGATGAATCAAGTGCTAACTGATTTACCCAGGGTCATTTGGGAATTTAAGTGGAACAAAAGTAAAAGCTGAATTTCCTCAGCCACAGTCTCTCCTCTGTAACATAATCCTTTCTGCCCTTTCCTTACGCTCCTGGTGCCCAAGGATTTCTGTCATTCTCAGGAACAGAAGCTGAGGAAGCCTCTGTGGAGCTTACAGGTATCTGCTGCATCAGCCAGGCCAGCCCCGTCCACTTGGAGATACTGAGGGCTTCAAATATCTGCATTTCTCACCTAATTCAGTGGAGCTGGAGATAATTAAGCCCTTCCATGTTTGGGTTTTTTTAGAGCTTTGAGTTTGTCACCTTCCTCCAGAAGGCAGTTGAGTAAATGGGCATCTGTAATACTGGTGTAGAATATGTATGAAAACAGGATAGTGGCCATGACACCGGGCTGTTAAGCAGATGACAACTCTGATAATTCATTGACTTAAATTTATTTATGTGGTTGGATTCCAGACCTTGATGGTTAATGATTTCTGTAGATTTTTGCCTTGTATCAGATATTATTTTCTTGAGACTCCAGTATGAGAATTCAGCAGTTTTTTTAAAATCATTCCATTAAAGTTACGTTTTCCTTTGTGTTCTTGAGCTGCTGCTTTCTCTCAATCCTGTCTTAGCAGATGTGCAACACTTTGAGACCAGAATGCCCAAGATACCCTTATACTTAATATTATCCCTTTGCTTTATGTTGCAGCCAACAGTCTCCACATCACTGCCTACTTCATGAAGAGATGGGTTAATCTCCGTTGCGCTTTAGGGAAACATTATCGTGGTAAGAAATCGCTTTCTTACAGAGTTACTTAGAATTTTGTATTCCTGGGGAGGAAGAAAGAGAGCATAAACTAACACTTCATGATATTTTGGTCTACTTAATCAAAATCCAGGGTTTTTTTTCAGAGAACATTTCCTAAAAACAACAGCAACAAAAAAGGGAAGTGTTTCTTAAGATAAGCTGGATTTTTTTTTTGTAATTCAATTTCAGATCTGTTGTATGCCTTGCCCCAGGGTAATCAGCTCAACCACACCAAATTCTGTGAATACCATGAGACTCAGCATTTTACTGAGCCTCTGCAGGGTGAATCAAGCAGAGGTTGCAGCATGAATCACTTCATTATTGCTGGAGTGTCTTGTGACATCAGTGGTGCAGTACAAGTGGATGCAAGAAAGGCTCTTGTTCACCTCAGAGCTATAAAATCTCTGTGTAGGTGATGTCATTGGACCAGGTTTTTTTCCATGTTTTCTCAAGCCAGGATGCTCTGTAAGGAAGTGATATCAGTCCTGTCCTGCCAACAGCAGTGCAAAGGAGCTAAAACCATCCTTGCCCTTTGTGTTGACCCTTTTGTGTTAAAAGAAAGCAAAATACATTAAGTGTCCTTAAAAATATTGAATACTCGAGTGGATAATTTTAAATGATTTCTTGTTTTTATAGGAATTCATTATATTCATAAATGTTTAAATCAGTCTTCAACTAGTTGTTTTCTAAGTCCGTATTGGTTGAAAAGATTGGAGTGTTGGCTTTAAATAATTCATCTATTCTCGTGTTAGAATAGAATGGCAGAGTGTCTGCATTGGAGTATCTACATTGTTTGCTGTGCATTAAATTTGAACTGTGTTAAAGCATCAATGAATACCCAAAGATCCTTTCATTTTGTTAGCCAGCAGGTGAGATTGTTATAAAATGTAACAACAAAAATGTCTAACTGGAATGAACTTGCCCTACTCTTCAATCCTACCAAAAAAATCTATGAGATCAACCTCATGGTTTTTTTCTGCAAGCCTTGTTTCTTTCTTGTCCCACAAAATAGGGTGTTATGGCTTGGGTTTGAAGTATAACAAACTTTCAAAATTATTAACTGGCTTTGTATGAAAACAAAACAAAAACCAGCAACCAAAAAAAAAAAAGCAGAGCTGAAAAATATAAAATCTGAAGATGTTAATCTGGAAACAGTTTCACATGTCAGACAGCAAAATGCCCAGCTGTGCTCTTCCCATAGCATTGCCAGGTACTGAATAAAGCTTTGCCTCCTCAGTTGGAATCTGAGAACCCTTCAATTGCTAATTCTTTGTAAATAGAAACTTTGTTGTGTTCAGAACAAACCGTGTGATCCCGAGGAAAATACCTAATTTGGTGATAGTTCCCTAATGTGTTTAATGACTTCAAAGATCTGTGCAGTCAGAGTGTGGAACGCTGGGAGCTGGGGTGCCAAGTCCTGACTGAATATGTTGTGCTGTGTTACAAAAACAATTTACAGCTTTTGTGATGAAAACACACATCACCAGAACAGAAAGAAAACCATCATTAAACTGTTTGTCTGTTGGTTCTGCCTGTTTTTTCTGTTCAGAGGTGCAGGTGGACTAATTTGCAGCCTCGACTGTCCTCTTGGGAACTCAATTTGCTCTTCTTATTGATTTTTTTTTTTAAATGGTTTAAAAAAACAAAATAAAAGGGGGGATGGCATGTTGAAGAGAGCAGGTAAAAAGCTAAAGGGGTGCATGAAACGAGTTAATGTGCAATTTAAAAATATAAATAATTTTATTTACTAAAGTAACGTCTGTATGATGTCATTGTGTGTGGTTTTGAAAATTATTATAATTTCTGTAATCTTCTTTTCCATTCTTTTTGTGTAGAGCTGCGTGTGTTTCCAGAGAAATTTATAGTTTGTGTCAGTAAACTTGACTTTGATCCAAGTGCTTGGACAGGTGAAAACGATGCATTGGTACGTACAGAACGGTTCTGTAAATTTTCTGGGTTTTTTTTAATAGGGATAAGATGATTGTTTATATATGTATGTATTTATTCACCTATTTGTGACTGTCATCTTAGAACCAGAAAGCCACATTAACAGTTGGGCCAGATTATTCAAGAGGACAACCTGCAGTGAGCCTAAGGCAGAGAAAAATTGGGATTTTTGAAAGCTTTAGCTTAGAAAGGTTTATTTTTTTTATAAAGCTCAGAGATGTATTTAGAAAGCTAAATGATTTAGGTATAATATTAGCACCTCGATTTAAGGATCTTTTTTTTTTTTTCCTTTGTACTTTGTCCTGGTAATATTTTACTTTCCAGAACTATAACGAAGTGGTTTGTAGTGTCCATGGGTTTCTTGTATGTTTTCTTAGCACTTGTTCTGCAGAACAACTCAAGCGGATCAGTGCTGGCCCTGCTGGGAGCAAAAATCCCCAAACATTTATGGAGGAAAAGGCACTGGTGTGTGGTTAAATACCATAAACAATTCTCCTTAAATATTTCATCCTGAAGGCTTTGTCAGGGTCAAAGGCTTGGGAATATTATGCTGCAGTTAAGTGCTGGCTGTGTCAGGAGCGCTCACATGGGCCCAGGTGCTGCTCCTGTGGCTCACACCGAGGGTCACAATTACACCCTGAGCTCTGGGTGTGCTTTAGGAGTTTAGCTGGCATGTATTAAAGTATAGTTGACCCTTGGAAAAAAAAAAAAAAAGGGTTTATTCTACTCATTCTACTTATTCTACTCATTCAACTTCATTTTTTTCTAACACCAGGCAGGTTGTTGGTATTTCTAACACTTAAATGCAGATTTTATTGTCTTGATTCCTAGATTGGTACATATCCTTCCATACCAAGGAATCAAATGTTTTTCACACTCTCAGAAAATAATTATCTACTTGCTCTAGAAGTATTTTGCTATTTTGAAAAGTGTTACTTTTTCAGTATTGTCTTGAAAACTATTTAATGCTTGAAGTAGGAAATTCTGTCTCTGCATTTTGACTGAGAAATAATTATGGGGTTTTTCTTCTTTCTCAGGTATCTCCTATAAGATATCCAATTCCCCCATTTGGTATTTTTAATCTTTCCATAAAATAAAAGCTGAGGAGTTTTCTTTAATTTCTTTCATGTGATTTTGTGTAGGAAGGAGAAGGAAAAATATTATGTGCTTTAGCTTTACTATTTCAAAACTTGATCTTGATCTACGAAAAACTCCTTGTTGTTTAAAAAATCAGTTTTAAGATTTTTATATTAAAAAAAAAAAATCTCTTAGTGGGATCATAACCTAATCAATGATAAAGTCTGGGAGTTTGCTTTACTTGCAGATGCAATATGTGTGCACAGACCTGGCTGGGATGGTCAGTGCAGTGTGTTGGGAGGAGGGAGTAAGAAAAAATTATCCCTAAGCCTCTTCCCTGATTTGAAGAACCTGATTAGTAAGATGGGAACAGCCCCTCAGCAAATGTTTTGGAGGATCTGGTTGATTCTTACCACTCTTCCTTGAAGGGTCCACTCCAGGCTGTTCTGTAGGTCCAGAATTCCTGCAGCATGGTAGGACCAAATTTGTCATATACTCCTGTTCAGTTCTTTGCCAAACTGGAGGAGTGCTGGATTGCCACTGAGAGGCAGCTTCAAGTTTTTGGCTCTCCAGAAGTAAAGGCAAAGGATCTGCCCTTTGTGTGTGTGCTCTTCCCAGTGCAGTTTGCAGTGAGTGGGCTGGAGCTCCAAACTCTGCACTCCAAAAGAGCACCCAGAAAACCTTTCCACTGATCCACTCCAGCCTATTCTGTCATGGGCTAAAAATGAGGCTGTGTTTTGTTTTCTTCTGTATGTTGTTTGGGCTCGAATAATGTCACAGTGTTGGATGCAAGTTCTTTTAAATGTTTAATCAGCTCACACTCTTGCTTTTGAAGGCCAGTTCTATTCTATAAAAGCAGTTAACTATACATTAACGGGGACTTTGTCACTTTTTTGTGTTGCCGAATGTCAGTGCAGGTGACTTACTCAAGACTTAACAATTATTTATATTTTTAGACTTTACTCTGTTTTGTGGCACGGGTCAAGCTTTCATTCCTGAGCTGTGTTAAGTCAAGCTCAATGCTCCACTTCCCCATTACTTGAAACCAGTTTTATGTCAGCCTGAGACACTGACCACAACTGTCTTCCTTCACCTGTCTTCAGCCCTTTATTCTTTGCTTTTTCACTGCTTTTTAGGCTATTCTCTGAAACAGACTGTGCTTAAACCATAAGTTGCAGGGGATGTAGCCAGCTATGAAATGTAATTTTTATGTCTTGCACCGTAGGAAAGGTCATAATTAGATTGCTTTTGAGATATTCACGAGCACAAACCTCAGCATCAGTTGCTGAGAGAAGCGATTTGAATCCTTCTGTGATGCCTCCTGTAAGACTAAGGTTAAGGTAGATTAGACAGTCTCTGTCAAATTAGCTTTGAGCATAAACTAATAAAAGATTTGAGAGCACTGCTAAGGAGCAGAGCTGAAATAAAGTCGAAGAAAATCTATTGATATGTAATTTTCCAGAATCTATTTATAAATGGGCGTATCTGGGGTTATATTTAACAGTCAGACTGCAGGCAGTAATAAGCATTTTGGAAGGAGGGAAATCTCTATTAAAGAAACAATATGGCAAGTTATTGAAATTACATAAGCAAGTTGGAAGTCTCAAGTTAAAAATGGAAGAATAGGCTGGCTGATTAATGCTGGGTTTAAACATAAACCCATTGTTACCTGTTTTACCAAACTGTGCTTGTAATCTTAAATAGTTTTATCTTGAGAAAGAAGACAGCTTTGGGAACATGGCACAAGAGGAAACCCAGGGAAATATGTAAGAGCTCTGGAGAGTTTAGTCATCTTTGTCAATGACGACATTTTCTCGAGGATTATTATGTAGAGAGCTAAAATGGAAAATTGGAAATGGGTTATCTGGAGAAACAGTGGAAATGGAAATGGGTGGAATGGCTTATGAGCATTTGAAAATGTGCTAACAATGGAGTATTCATTGATAACCACATTGGCTTTATAGCAGAATCTATGAGAGGAAGCACTAAAGCATGAAGGAGGTTAAGCTAAAGATGAGATGAAATGGAAATTTGAAATTACCATTCATGTGAAATCAGAAAAGAAAGGGGGGAGTAGGAGATCCTGTCTTTATTAAAGAGATCTCAATGTTTCCACTGAGCCTTGTTAAGTTGCAGAGAATATTATACAAAAATAAAGATTCTTTTCCAACAGAATATTGCTCTTAAAAAACCCAAACTAAACCAAACAAAAAACTCCACGTAGGTACACAAGGAAAAGAAAATTGCTAGAGATGTGCCCAATGCCTTTTAAATGCCCAGGAGAGAAAAAAAGAAAAATAAAAGAGAAAATGTTCTTCATGCATGTCTGATTTTATAAACTGCGTCATTGTAATGTACTTCAGGAGCATTAGACAATTCTCTTTCTTAAAACTTTTAAGAGCATAAATGATAGGATTTTCTGGGGTTTTGATTATGCTGGGAAGAGGCTTCTGGTTCTTTCATGAAAACATGAACTCTTAACTGTAATTAACAGGAGATTTGTAACACTGGAGTTTATGCTGCTGGAATAGTGTGGCTATTGGAAGGTAAAATGAAAGCTCTTTTTCAGATAGCAGCAATTTGTAAAGATTAGTGCAAGACTTTATGTGGAATTTAGTTATCTTAAATACTTTAAAGACTTATTGTGAAGTGCTGTCAGATTGGGTAGGGGAAGAAGGAAATGCTGTGCAATAGAATTGCACAATTCACACTGGAAGTACTAATCGTGGCATGGGACTGTGTGTGTGTGTGTCTCTAAAATATCACAGTGAAGCTGCTGTAATGGTGGGCTACTACTGAAAAGGTCAGTCCACATCCCCTCTAGTTCCAGCTCCATATTCCTTTCCTTTCTGGTTACAATGGACCAAGTGACTCTTCAGTGGAGAATGAATTAGTTCATTGACTGGATCTAGCAGAAAATTATTTATTTGTGAAGTTCCTCTGCTTTTTATTGGAGGATTAGTTTTCCATCTTGTCACTTCAGTGAACCAACTCATCCTGTACCCACACAGCTGCCAATTGTGATGCAAAAAAATGTTGGAGGAGCACACAGAGAGGATTTGGATGAGGGGAGCAGGACCATCACTTTAGGTAGCAGCTGATAGTCACCCTGGTTTGGAAAAAACATCCACAACACACATTAATGTTACACTTGTTGTAATATTTGTCTTGCTGCTGGTCTTTTTATGTCATTATCCTTTTAACTTTTATAAGTGTTTCCTTGTGATTTCAGATAATGTTCTGAGTTCTTTTCAGTCATTATAGGAAACATAGAGGAAAACAGTATTAAGCTGTAGTTTGGTAACTATAAACAGGGTTTATTCCTTTTTTTGAAAAGGTAGAGGGGGGAAACTGCAGACTAATGAACTCTACCCAAATACCACAGAGTGGAACAGGCAAAGAATTGGTTTGGTGAGTTTTCACTTTTGACACTTCAAGCTTCTGTCATGTTTTTTTTTACTCATCCCTCACGTTCTACTCAAGCTGCTGCAAGACTGATGATAGTGAAACATGCAGTCCCTCCTGCCTTCTCTCCTCTTCCCCAGGCATTCTTGTCCTCAGTGTCTGTCAGTACTGGCAGGTGTGGGGAAATAGGTTAATAGGTTCATTCAATAATCCCTCTGAAAACAAGGGGAGTTTTGTTTGGGTTTTTTGTTGTTGTTTGCCTGGCTCGCTTTCAGCCGGTCCCTGCAGTGTTGATCCCTTTGGTGTTGATCCTTGGCAGGACCATGTGCTGGGTAAGGGTGAGACTTCCCTTTCACTGTCAGTGTGGCTTTAAATTATCTTGAATCACCAGGCTGCTCTCTTTGAGAAACTACATCTCGAAGTAACGATCCTGAACTCTTCCACTCGCTCATAAAGAAGCTACAGCAGCTTTGCAGTATTCCCTTTTGTCCCAGC